TTACATCTAAAAATAGATAGGAAATTGTAAGTTACAATAATGCAAAGATTTCTCTAAAATGGTTTTTCAATATGTATTCTGTTCAAATACAACAGAGCTGAAAACTACATGAATGTTAGACTATTGAAACAAATTATGGCTCTAAATATGGAATACCAATAAATCATGATGATACTGAAGAATTCTTCTTCTGGTAATGTGTAGATGATAGTAACATGTCTGCCAAAATACAAGTGCAAATTTTGGGGAAAGAAGCAGAAGACATCAAAAACTACTAAGATAGCAAAAATCTCCGAGCAAAGAAGTCTTGAAAATTCATGAAGGAGGGAAAAAAGGAAATGCAGAGAGGTAACTATTACAGTGCACAGAATTAAATCTCAGACTAATGGGGTTTAATGATTTTTTACATTGGCAATACAGAAATTAAACCTAATGATATTGCTAATTAAAAAATAATATTACAATAAAGATATCTAGCTGGGCATGGCAGTGCACACTGTAATCACAGCTACTTGGGAACTTAAGGTGGGAGAGTCATTTGATCCCCTAATCATACAAATTTGAGATGAACCTGAGCAGCATAGCAAGATCCCATCTCAAGAAAAAATATGAAGACAGTTGCAGAAGACAAAGCTGAGTAAATTGATCATTGGTGAGCCCACACTGAAGTGAATGTTGAAAGGAAAAATTCCATATGCAACAGAATTGGTACAAGAATTGAACAGTAATAGAAAGGGTAAATATACACATTGAGACTAAAAGTAACAATTAAAATGATATGGGTTTACCATGTCTTTTAAATTAAATATAGAATTAAAATATGTGAAATTGTAGTGAGTTCAAGGGAATTGGGAGACTGTTCAGTGGAAAATGATCAGTCTCCCAATTCCCTTGAAACCGTTTTGGTTCCGTCAGCAGCAGCGGCGAATAATGTCGGATTTTATTTGGTGAATCTATGACAGGTTTGCAAGGAAGTGGAGGAGGGGCTGTCCAAACTGGAGGCCTTCCAGAGACTAGCTTCTGACCACCACCTAGAAGCTAAGAAAAGAACTCCAGGGGAGATGTGAATCAGAGAAGGGAGGTCTGAATATATGCAGCTTCTCTCAGAAGCTCAGAAATACAGCAGGGGTTAGGTTGAGAACTCTGGAGAGCAGTAGATGACTGCTTTTTTTCAATTTATATGAAATTTATCTTAGCAAATGTTTACAGTTTCATATAAGTATTCAAACTAGACTGCCTCTAAATGGCCAAAAATATCTGCTTATTTGGAATATACTTGACTGTGTTAAATTTGCGTTTGGTAATGACATATTCTTGAGATAACAGACATCACTTATTTGAAGAAGTAAACAACATAAAGACTGCAGAGGACCTGGGTTTGATTCCCAGCACCTACATGGTGGCTACCAACCATCAATAACTCCAGTTCCAGGGGAATCCAGTGCCCTCTTCTGACCTCCACAGGCATTGCACTAAGTGGGCACACTTAAATATATGCAGGGAATACTCTCATACACATAAAATAGAATAATAAGTAAAATATTTTTTAAAGGTTTGAACAGTTTCAGGGTCCTTGAAAATATCTAGACCGTAGATTATTTGCTCCTGAGGCTTGGAAATAACCCAGTTTGGGGAGGAGCTCCCCCTTTTAGAATGTGTTTCAGGGCATAAATATCAACATTGGATTTCCACATTTTTTTTTTAGAACTGGATATATGGCATCTGTGGGATTACTTGTCTAGCTGGGGATATATCTAACACTTATATATACTTATATATCTAATACTATATATAAAACTGTAGTCAGTTATCATTCCTTCCCAAACAAGTATAAAAATGTCTACTCCTACTTTCGTGGAGGCATTCAGAAAGAACACATTTAGTCCAATGATAGCACTAAGGTACAAACATATCAATAGAGAGTCAACTGTGGTAATCTCTCTTCTCCCTCTCCCTCTCTCTCTTCTTCCTCTGCTTCCTCTTCTATTTTAAAATTGTATCTCTTCATGCCACCACTTTCTTTGTAACTTGCTGATCCTTGCTATTTCTAGGTGGAATGCCCTTTCATCCTAATTAACTATTCATTTGTCTTTTAAATATCAAATCTCCCAGGAAATGGAGTCTTTTCTAAATCTACAAGTAGAACTGTCCTGACCCTTTACAGAACACCGTAGACATTTCTGGAAAACTTTGGTGCATTTTATCTTTGTTTCCCATGTTTACATTGCCAGCTCCCTGAGGACAAAGAGATTAAATTTGTACTTCTGCACAGATGATCATTGTTTGTTGAAATAATGGACTAAAAGTCCAGTACTGATCATTTCAAATGTGTGAGTATGGAAACCAGCCTGGGCTGCATAGTTACATTATACATAGATACATTATTATTATCATTATTTATTATTATTATTACTTTTAAAACCCAGTGCTAGTAAATAACAGTAAAGCAGTGTATACAGCGACCATTAATACTCTGTATCTTGATTAACTCATAGTTCTATTAAATGGTAAGTGATTGGGGAATGAGATTAACCAAATCTTTTAGTTTTAGTGGTTTTTCCAAGGCAGAGTTTATTTTTCTGTATTGGTAAGAGCTGGGGGTGTGAATAGTGAGATTTTCAAGCTTGTTGCAGGTTTCCTAATTAGAACTAAATCACAGGCTTCGGTTTGGAGAAGAGTTCTTCCTAGCTGACAGCAGTAGAAGTAGAGACTTCCCTGGAGAAAATCACAGAGACAAGGGAAGGGATGAAGGCTGTACCCTTCCACACACCATGCACTCTTTTTTCTCAAACAGCTTTGAGGAAGGGGAAAATCCTAAGGCTACTAAGTACCAATTCTAAGCATCTATTGAGTACCTGACACTATTGAGTAGAACCCCTCTAATAGGTACCTTTAATTCTGAGAAAACCTCCGTTTTCGTTCCCTGCCCATCTGCGCCAAGCTCCTTGTCTCGCCCTACCAAAGCCTCCCCCTGCCATTGCGCAGTTTTTGGTGCAGAATCACCACATCTACTTTCGCAGACCCACGGGAGGGGCTGGGCGGGGCGGGGTCGCCTTGTCGCAGAGTCCAACTGCGCCTGCGCGGACTGCGGCAGAAGGCGGGGTGTGAGGAGCAAGTATTCTGAGGCTAGCGTTCTGTTGGCTAGTACCTTGCTTCCTTTTCACCACCTCTGATCTGGGCTCCGGTGACTTGCTTGGAACTTTGGTTCTGGCATCATCAGCGGCATTACTGCTAGCCGTTCTGTGCCTAGGCGCCTACACACCTCGCGTCCTCTTCTGCTAGACCGCCGGCCTGTCGGTGTCTGCTTCTACACGCCGGTCGGTAGGACCATGTCGCTGGTAAGCCAGAATCCGCGCCGCCGCCGCAATGCCAAGGCCGCTGCGCGCAACGGCAGCGGGGATGAAATGCAGGCCCCTAGCGCCCGGAGTCTCCCTGCTGCTATGCCAGGCCCAGACGTCCCTCAGGATCGCAGCGATCCTCAGCTCCTGCAGGGCCTTGGCGCCGAGGAGGGCGCAGGCACCTCCGCGCTGCCCACCCCGGGGGAGGGCCCGAGCACCTCTGTGCAGTCCACTGCCGCTGAGGGCTCGAGCGCCTGCGGGCAACTCAGCATCTCTGAGGGGCCGAACACCTCCGAGCTGCCCGGCCCTAGCCAGGGCCCAAGCACCTTCGGGCCCCCCGCAGTCTCCGAGGGGCCGAACACTGCAGTGTCAATTACAGCTTCTGAGGGCCCGAGCACCTCGGGGCCGCCCACTGCCGCGGAGGGCTCAAAGGCCTCCGAGCATCTCACTGTCTCTGAAGGGCTGACCATCTCCGAGGTGCCCCGCTCTGACGAGGGCCTCAGCGCCCTGGCGCAGTCCACCCTGGGTGCTGGCCCGAGCACCTCGGTGCCGCCCACCTTCGCTGAGGAATCGGGCATTTCCCTGCTGCTTGCCTCTGGCGAGGGCCCGAGCACCTCCCTGCCGCCCACCGTCTCTGAGGGACTGGGCATCTACGTGCCCTCCCCCACCAGTGAGGTCTCGAGCAGTTCTGTGCTGCCCACTGCCTCTGATGGACAGGGCATCTCCATGCTGCCCACCTCCGGTGAGGGCCCGAGCGCCCCGGTGCCGCTCCCAGTTTCGGAGGAACCGGGCGTCTCCATGCGCCCCTCCTCCGGTGAGGGTCTGAGCACCTCCGGGCTGCCCCCTTCCGGTGATGGCCACAGCACCTGGGTGCCGCCCACCATCTTGAAGGGATCGGGTGTCTACGTGCCGCCCACCTCCGTGGAGGGACTGAGCACCGCGGTGCCGCCCACTGCCTGTGAGAGCGCGAGCGCCTCTGCTGAGGGCCAGAGCACGTTCATGCAATCCAGTGCTGCTGAGGGCTGCAGCACCTCGGTACAGCCCCGTGCTGTGGAGGGCCCTGGCACCTGCATGCTGCTTCCCTGCGGGGAGGGCCCGAGCACCTCCCAGATGCCCTTGGCTGCTGAGGGCCCAAGCACTTCCGGAATGCCCACTGCAGCTGAGAGCCCTGACGCAGTACTGGACTGTGGCGCTGTGGGTACCGACTTCTGCAAGTGTGCCTCCCTTGCTCTGCCAAAGCCCCCGGCTCCCTCTGTACGTCCGAAGCGTTCTGACGGCCCGGTGGAATTCCAGGTCCTGAGAGACAGTGAGAATTCCAACGCCATCACCATCATGGGCCTCGGCACTGCGCACGTTGCACTTACCCTGAAGCCTCAGGATCCTATGGAGCAAAATGTAGCAGAATTGTTGCAGTTTCTGCTGGTGAAGGATCAGAGCAAGTACCCGATCAGGGAATCTGAAATGCGCCAGTTCATTGTTAAAGAATATCGCAACCAGTTCCCTGAGATCCTTAGGCGAGCCGCAGCCCACCTGGAGTGCATTTTCAGGTTTGAACTGAGGGAGCTAGACCCGGAGGAGCACACTTACATCCTCCTCAACAAACTGGGACCTGTGCCCTTTGAAGGGTTAGAAGACAGCCCAAATGGGCCGAAGATGGGCCTCCTGATGATGATTCTGGGACAAATATTCCTAAATGGCAACCAAGCCAAGGAAGCTGATATCTGGGAAATGCTCTGGAGGTTCGGAGTGCAGCGTGAAAGAAGGCTTTCCATTTTTGGGAACCCAAAGAGACTCCTGTCTGTAGAGTTTGTGTGGCAGCGTTACCTGGACTACAGGCCCATAACTGACTGTACACCAGTCGAGTATGAGTTTTACTGGGGCCCACGATCCCACCTGGAAACCACAAAGATGAAAATTCTGAAATTCATGGCTAAAATCTACAACAGAGATCCTATGGACTGGCCAGCACAATATAATGAAGCGCTGGAAGAAGATGCCATCAGAGCTGCTGCTGATGATTGGCAGCCGGTCCCTCACTTTAGGAGGCCCTTTTTTGAGGAAGTTTCTCCGGAGCTGCTCGCTCCTGATTCAGATCTTCCTGGCTATCCCTCAAAATATCCTCCACATTCGTGGCCTGAGTCGAGATTAGAGAGCAAGTCAAGAAAATTGGTGCAGTTATTTCTGCTGATGGACTCAACTAAGCTGCCTATACCAAAGAAAGGAATTCTGTATTACATTGGCCGAGAATGTAGCAAAGTGTTCCCCGACCTCCTGAATCGTGCTGCTCGCACCCTGAACCACGTCTATGGAACGGAGCTAGTGGTCCTTGATCCCAGGAACCACTCCTACACCCTGTACAACCGAAGAGAAATGGAAGATACTGAAGAGATTGTAGACAGTCCAAACAGGCCAGGCAACAATTTCTTAATGCAGGTTCTAAGCTTCATCTTCATAATGGGAAACCATGCTAGGGAGTCTTCAGTCTGGGCCTTTCTGAGGGGCTTAGGGGTTCAAAATGGGAGAAAGCATGTCATTACCTGCAGGTATTTGAGCCAGCGCTACATAGACAGTTTACGGGTTCCTGATAGTGATCCAGTGCAATATGATTTTGTATGGGGCCCTAGAGCCCGCTTGGAGACATCCAAGATGAAAGCCCTACGATATGTGGCCAGAATTCACAGGAAGGATCCACAGGACTGGCCAGAGCAGTACAGGGAGGCAATGGAAGATGAGGCCAATAGAGCTGAAGCTGGGCACCGGCAATTGCTTGTTCACAACTTGAGATAGATGAATGTGTGGCAGTCAGTCAGAGAGGCCTTGTAAGGCTGGGCCTAGAGCCTTGGTTCTCAGTATTGGGGTGGGGGGGTTACATATTGTATTTGATATTTGTGTTCCAGTTCCATTTATGTCTTTTCATATTTAGTTCCTCTTTGGTATCTTGAAAAGTTTCAATTGTTTTAATATATTGTACTGTAATGTAAATGTGACTGACTACTTGATGTCTCTGTTGTATTTTTGGTATAAGAGTTTTGATAGTGTTATAAAATGTTTTGGGAATCTTTCCATCTTGTTGCATTATCTGAAACAGAACATATAGCATATAGCTATAGATATAGGCTTTTCCTTGAAAGCTTGAAAAAAATTCATTAGTAAAGTGATCTAGCTTCAGATGTTTAACAAACAAATATAATAACAACTGAAAAAAGCACCCTAAGTTGTGGCTGGCCTCCCTTTTGTCTGCTATTGTGTAAAGAATACTGATGTTTCCCTGTATTTGCTTTGCTGTACTAAAATGTATTGAAAAATAAAAGCGTGATAAATCAAAACAATGCTAATGCACTCATTTATTCAATAAACATTTATAAACTTTCTCTCATATAGTGAATTACACGATATAGCACCTGCTCTAGTACTCAAGGACTGAGTCGAGTATAGGGGGAGGGGGAGGTTATTTAAACCAACAATTTTATTATGGTATAATAAGTGTTATACTTGACTAAGTAAAGAACTCTATGGGAGTTAAGAGGATATACACCTAATCTAATTCCTGGGGTGTTCAAAGTAATCCTTGGTGAACATGGTGGTTGTTGAGGGGACAAGATTGGGTTCTTAATAAAACATGAGGTAAAGGGCCAAATCTGGATTTTAGTATTCATTAGTATTTGCATGGAATCAAGCTGGTGATTTGGAGGTGAGAGGTTTTGCACGTCATATACTATCCCATTAAGATATATGAGTCATGGGGCTGGAGAGATGGCTCAGCAGTTAAGAGGGCTTATCACTTCTTCCAGAGAACCTGAGTTTCATTCCCAGGACCGATGCTGGGCAGCTCACAATCTATTGTTAACTCCAGCTCCAGGAGATCCAGCTCCCTCTACTGTCCCCTGCAGGCACCCACACACGGCAGACCCCCCCACATACACATTAATTTTTAAAAAATATATATATATATGAATCAGGGGCCTTGGGATTTAGCTCAGTTGGTAAAGTGTTTGCCTAGCAAGCAAAAAGTCCTGGGTTCTGTCCCAAACACCACATAAACCAGATGTGGTGTCTCATATCTGTATTTCTGGCACTTAGGAGGTAGAGGCAAGAAAATCAGAAGTTCAAGATTATCCTGGGCTATATAGATAGTTCAAGGCCAAACTGGGATACAAGAGACCTTCTCTTAAATAAATACTTAAAAAATAAGATATGAGTCAGCTTTCTCTAAGTTATATTGCAGCTTAAAAATGTCCCCTAACCATGCTCAGCACCAAAATAGGTCATCTTTCTCAAAGCCTCTTCCATACCACCACCACGAAGTTTCAGGAAACATCAAAGAAATGGAAGTGGAAAGAATGTAAGAGACAGATGATGGCACATACCCATATTAGTGGGTCATCAGGGAGGGGAGAAAGGGACATGAATTGGGAGGGGGCCATGTTGGAGGGGATTGGAGGGAAATGGAGGGGGGAAAGGGAGGTGAATATGCTCATATTTCATTGTATGCATGTGAAAAATTCTCCAGGATAAAGAAAAATATTACTTTAAAAAGGGAATGGAGAGGATTAAGAGCAGGTAAGAGTGCTTGCTGCTCTTCCAGAGGACCTGAGTTCAGTTCCTAGCACACCTTTAATCTCAGCACCCAGGAGGCAGAAAGATCTCTGTGAGATGGGTCTATAAAGTGAGTTCCAGGCCAGCTGGGACTACAGAAAGACACTGTCTCAAAAAAAAGAAAAAAAAAGAAACCAAAAAGAAAAAACAAAACACCCTAAAATAAAAACAAATCCCCAAATCTCAGTGGTAAACACCAACAAATTTTACATGATCTTCATGGGCTCCCTGTAATTCTGTGTATACTGTGTTTATTCAGATAATCAAACTAAGTAAGTAGCCCACAGACAGGAAATCTATTCTTATAGCAAAGATAAAAGAGTCATAGTAGAATGATGTGATGGTTTTTAAAGTTTCTGAGTGGTTTTTTTTTGGTCTTTTTTAGACAGGTCTCCCTGTAGCCTCAGCTGGCCTGGCACTCACTATGCAGACCAAGCTGGCCTTGATTTCACGGGGATTCTGCCTGCCTCTGCCTCCGGAGTGCTGGGACTAAAGACATGTGCCACCACACCTGACTCTGCTCAAATTTTTATAGTCCCAGCAAAAGCCAAATCAAATAGTCAAGCTTGCTATCAATGAGAGGGAGTATGCACTCCTTCCTCAGGAAGGTTGAGGGACTAACAGAACATAACACATTGTGAATTTAAAATTTTCAGTTGACCATATAAGGATTTTGCAATTGTTCTGAGAAGAGAAACCATTGAAAGATTTTTATCTGAGGAGTGGAATAAAAGGGGTTGTTAGTTTTGACACACTTTGGCTCTTGTTGTGAAAAACTACACAGCCAAGGAAGGCAGAAAGTTCAAATTTTAGTATAGCATTTCCTTCCTAATATTCTTATCAAACAATATATTTTTCAAACAAAATTGAATTTAAGATAACTTAGAGTCAGGCAGCCTGTTATATTTTCTAAAACATCCCAGAAACCAAACTGCATTTTATGAAGGTTTACCAGAATTAAAGCATAGTGCTTAAGAATATGTGGTCTAGAACTGCAGGTACTTGGTGCTAATCGTGATATGAGACACCAGATATGAGACAGTGAACAAGTTACTAAATTCCTTTTCACTTCAGTAGCCTCATCTGTAAAATGGGCATAATTTTTTCCTACCCATAAGGTTGGAAAGATTAAATATGTTGACATGTAAAATACATCAGAGCTAGAAATATAGTTAGGAATACATAGATGACACTGTGGGCTGATTTTTCCAGGAATAGAGCTATGAAGGGGAGATTTCCCTGAAAATTTTTATTCAGGAGTGCTTTGGTTTCAATATCAATGAGAAAGCAAAGGAAGCAGAAATCTGCAGAAGTGGGAAGTGAGACTCACAGTAAATAGATTAGTTGATTTCATAGGGAAGTCTCAAGTTAGGGAGATGCTACACAGTTGTCCCAAATTACGGAAAAGATGAGTGAATTTTTATACTCTCATACTGACCAGTTATTGAATGTAGCCAGCCTCCTGGTAAAGAGCCATGTCTGTGAGAAACTCATGTCTTTTCAGCGAAGAGTAAACTGTGTAAGTATAAACACAATAATTTTCAACACCTCATGCAAGAGCTGGAGGAATGAGTACTTCAGGCCCGGGGAATTAGAACATCTGGGTGGTACATAATAATGTTCACCAAAGTTGTTGCTTCATTTCCTTTAACTTCATCCTCTGTAGTTTTCTTTCTCTTATTTTTATTATTTCTACTGTTATTGTCATGAAAAGTGTCAAATAATTTCTCATTGTTCTACATGGAACAAAGCATCCACATCACTGAACCATTTTGCTTTTGGCATGACCTTCCTGAAAGAAAGGCTTTGATAATAGAGCTTTTACCAGTTAAGTTCTGTGTCATTTTTCCATATTTCTTAGTAGAAGTATGTGTCTTTTTAAATGGCATATATTCATTGCACCAAGTAGTTTCATTATGACATTCTCATGCACGTCTATCATGTACTTTGATCTTTATCACCTCCATACCCTCTCTGGTCCCTCCTACCGCCTGCTACTGGTTCTGTTCCTCTTCTGAAATATTTTTCTGTCTGCTTTCAAGTCTCATTTTATTTTCCTTATGTCTAGACTATGCATATGGGAGAAAACATGAGATGTTTGTTTTTCTTGGACTGGCTTATTTTACTTAATACAATGATCTCTAACCCATCCATTTTCCTGCATTGTTTTAATTTTGTTCCTTTTGATGGTTAAATTGTATATCTATATCACATTTTCTTATTAAAAGATATATTTTTATAGTCATCTATTTATGGACACCTAGACTGGATGCACAACATGGTGATTGTGAATTGTGCCACAATAAACCTGACTTGGATTCCTGCAGATAAGTGCATAAGAATGGTATAACTGGATCATAAGGTAATGTGGCTTTACTTTCTTGGGGAATGTTCATGCTTATTTGCATATTACCTGCAGTAATTTACATTCCCATCAGCAGTACGTAAGAGTTGTCTTTTCTCTGCATCCTCACCAGCACTTGCTGTTTATTTTCTTCATAATAGTAGTTCTGACTGGGATGTGATGCAACAGCATGTACATTTCAAGTACGTTTTTTGATGACCAAGGATGTTGGACATTTTGTCCATATATTTATTGGTGTGTAACTCCAACTCCAGGGGCTCCTGTGCTGTCTTCTGGCTCATGCCAGTACTTGCATAGCAATAAGCAGACAGATGCAGACACGTACACATAAATAAAAATAAAACAAATCTTCAAAAAGCTGGTATATAGAGGAGAAAGTATGATTATGGGAATCCATAGCTGTCATTTTTGTTTGATTTGTTTGATTAAGTAGATAGTGGCAGAGCAGCCATTTTAAGATGAATGAGATTTTTATTATTGAGTGAAATAACATTGTTCTATCTCTTTCTAGATTAGAATATTTCGATGAACAGTGACAGAAATCTGGTAAGCAAACGGCAGTCATCAGATTTGGATGAAAACAATGTGAACCAATGAGGTATTTGGGTCTTAGATAACTACATAAAAATGTAAAAACTGAAAAATAATATCAAGAAAAAAACTGAATAATAAAATCATAAAAGGGGGCAAGCAGTATTGAGAAACAAGCAGTATTTTTATTTCTTCATTTTGAAAATAGTATTAACATTTAATATTTAAGTGAAATTATTCCTAATGAGCTCAGATGAAATGTTTGCTCTTCCTAGCAGAAGCCAGAGTATCCTTTCTAGCAAAAACCAAACCTCAAATTAATATATATAAATAAATTTTTATCTCATCTTTACCTCTTAAAAATTATTTTAAGGTTTCAAAATCACATGTTCTTTACTCATGACCCTTGGTCCTTTTTTAAAAATTATTTACTTAATAACCATATAATTAGAAGAAGCATTTCATTACAACAGCAACGACATATTCAATAATAATATCCAGAGCTAAGATGCATCTCTTTCAAAATTGGCTGTAAATTTTTAGGTTTATAGTTGAATTAATACAGTTAAACAATATTGTACTCTATATAAACCCTATAAGACATAAAATTAAATGAGGTTTTAAACTTTAAAAAGATCTCCATTTCATTATTAAAATACTGTTTTATACAGAAAAATTCATTTTTAAAATAATTGACACTAAGATGCACATGCATTTCTAATCTCTATATATCTGATTATTACTAGTCACAGTTGGATACTTTCTGAGCTCCTTGGCATCTGAGCATGGATATAAAGTCATCAGATAGATTTCAATGGTAATGTTATTCACATCTAC